AATTGTGAATGGCAGTTCGTTCTTGATTTGGCTCCCTTTAAGTCTGTCATTGGTGTAGAGGAAGGCTTTGAAGGGGAGAAAGCAAACAAAGCACACTGCCATGTGTGTACCTATGCAACTGTATTGCATGCTCTGCACATGTACCCCCAAACCTAAAATGCAATAAAAATATATATATATATTAAAAAAATTATGTACTAGGTGCCAATAAAGTTTGACTCCTTCCAGCATAAAAAAAAAGTTCTAGAAATTAATAATGTTGATTATTGTACGACATTGTAAATGTATTTAATGCTATTCAACTATGAAGTTAAAAACTGTTAAAATGCAAAATTTTATATTATATATTTCACTAGAACTTTAAAAAATAATTGACAATGCTTAGAGTCTTTTAAACAGAAGATTTAAACTAAAAAATTTCAAGAAAAAAACTACGCTAAAAATTACTTTAAATTAAAAATATGAACTTAACCTTCTCCCCCAAATCAATCTTATATTATCAATATTAAAAAATAAAAACCATATATATTAGATGAGGAAAAAACATGAGAAAATTGAACATTTTTCATTAAAAAAATAATCTCAGTGGGGCCAGGTGCGGTGGCTCACACATGTAATCCCAGGACTTTGGGAGGTTGAGTCAGGCAAATCAGCTGAGGTTGGGATTTTGAGACCATCCCGACCAACATGGAGAAACCCTGTCTCTACTAAAAAGATACAAAATTAGCTGGTGTGGTGGTGCTTGCCTCTAATCCCACCTATTCACGAGGCTGAGGCAGGAGAATCGCTTGAACCTGGGAGGCGGAGGTTGTGGTGAGCTGAGATTGGGCCACTACACTCCAGCCTGGGCAATGAGAGTGAAAATCCGTCTAAAAAAAAAAAAAAAAAAAAAAAAAAAAAAAAAAAAATCTCAGCAAACTGTGAATACAGGAGAATTTCCTGAACATGTCAAAGGGCTTTCTAAAAATACGTAATGCTAACATTCCATGTAATGATGAAAGAGTGAATGTTTTCCCGTAAGACCAAGAATAAGACTTGCATGTCAGCTCTTACCACTTCTATTCAACAATGTACTGGAAGTTCGAGCCACTGTAATCACTTTTAAAAGGGAGTCAAGAGAAGGAAGAAAGGAGGGAAGGTAAAAAAAAAGAATAAAAGAGAGGAAGGGAGGGAGGAAAATAAAAGGCATCTAGATTGAAAAGAAATAATTAAAACTGTCTTTATTCACAGACATAATCATCTGTGTAGAAAACCAGGTGAAATCCATTGCAACATTACTGGCACCAGTGAGTGAGTTTTCCCATATTGCAGGACACATGATTGACATACAAAAATCAATTGTAATTCTATATGTTACAAATAAACGGTTAGGAATTGAAATTTAAAAAATAATACTATTTATAATAGCATTAAAATATAAAATTCTTGGGAATATATCTGACATACTATGCAAAATATCTGTACAACGATAACCAAAAAGTATTGAGGAGAAAAATCAAATAAGTTCTAAGAAAATACCTTATTTGTAGGTTGAGAGACTCAACATTATTAAGATGCTCATTCTTTCCTATGACATAATGCAATCCCAGTCCAAATCCAAGCAGGTATTTTGTAGAAACTGACAACTGATTTTAAGACTTCCATGGCATGTAGATGACACAGAAATGCACGGTAACTCTGAAAAAACAAAAGAATAAATTTAGAGAGCAAATACAATGCAGTTTGAAGAATTATTACAAAGCTACAACAATCATACAGTGTGATTCTGACACAAAGATAGATCAATGGAACAGAATAGTTTCCAGAAACCAGGTATATATCACACACACACACACACACACACACACACACTCTCTCACTCTCTCTCTCTCTTAAAATGTCACTGGTCAAGTGACTGCTTATGAACAGTAATTGGTTGATACATTAATCTAAGATCTGTTGGCCTTAAATCACTACCATAACCTTGAGAAGTTGATGATGTCTTTGTTTTCTGAGAACAGTTTCAGTGTGCAAGCTGGTGGTTCCATAGAGATGGCAGAAGAAAGTGTAGAGCCAGAAAAAAAAAGGGATACCCACAGACTTCTTGAGATGTTTTTGAAAGTTATAAAACATGGTAAACTAATGAGGCATAAGTATATTTTTCATTATGGATGTTTATATTTTCACATCTTTCAGTAATGTGTATAAGAAAAAGTATTTAATGTAGTATTTATTAACAAAGCAATGGAGAGGGATGACATTCACTATTTACAGTTTATTTCAGAAATCAATGATTTAAACTTAATTCATAATTTTTGGCAACATACCTTCATCTACTTCTGCAGTTATGTTTTCTTGCACATCCGCTGTATTTGAAAAGTCAAATATTATTAATAATGTTTAAGTTAAACAAGAGACATTCTCATGTAGCCCCACTGTAAGTCAAGGAGTATCTCTACTCTGGGTTGATCATCCCTAACCTGAAAATCTGAAATCCAAAATGCTCTACAATCTGAAACTTTTTGAACACAGACATGATATCAAAACTAGAAAGGTCCACACCTGACCTCATGTGACAGGCTGTGGTGAAAACACACTTAAAACTTTGTTACATGCAAAATATTTTTGTAAAACATTGTACAGGCTGGGTGTGATGGCTCATGCCTATAATCTCAGCACTTTGGGAGGCCATGGCATGTGGATCACCTCAAGTCAGGAATTTGAGACCAGCCTGGCCAACATGGTGAAACCGTCTCTACTAAAAATACAAAAGTTAGCCTGGTGTGGCAGTGCGTATCTATAGTCTCAGCTACTTGGGAGGCTAAGGCAGGAGAATTGCTTGAACCTGGGAGGCGGAGGTTGCAGTGAGCTGAGAACACACCACTGCACTCCAGCCTGGGCGACAAAGCAAGACTCTGTGCCCCACTGCACCCACTCCTCTCCTGCAAACAAAAAAAAAAGGAAATGAAAGAAGAAAGAAAAAGAAAAATATTATATAGAATTATCTTCAGGCTGTGTGCATAAGGTGTATATGAAACATAAACGTATTGCATGTTTACACGTGGTACCATCCCCAAGGTATTTAATTAGGTGTATACAAAAATTCCCAAATCTGGAAATAATACACTTTTGATCTTCCCAATAATTTTACACAAGGGATATTCAACCTACCCACTAGAAAAATAAAATTCCTTTTCAATGTGACAGAAATCAAGAGATTGTCTATTGAACTTCAACTTACCAGAATTTTCTGAAGCTGCTCAATTTTGTCCGCTCGCCCTTTCATTCTAATTTTTAACATGGCAGTTTCTAGTTTAAGCCTAAAATACATATATTTTAAAATAAGTATTTACAGACATAATTTAAAAAAAAAATTCTGAAAAAATATCTGAAGAAACAATTATATAAATTCTGAGACATTTGAAAATTAGAAAATTGAGCAATTGCCATTTTTCTACCTTTGTTTTGTGGATGATGTGTAAAATTAATATAGAAAAATTATGCATTTCAAAATAGCTTAGAGCTGAAATTTTTTCTTGGCTTCACATAGACATAATTATCTTAACTGATATAATTCTCACACTACACTACTCATTTGCTTTATAAATACTCAAGATATTTTGTGTGCTGCTTTAAATCGTACTTTTGCACGTTGTCTGGAATCTCCTCATCATATCTTAGAGTCTCTGTGAGTTGATCCTGGGTTTCTTGCAACTAAAACAAAGAATTGAAAACAACCTTTAGGTGTGGAAACTAAATGCCCATCAATAGGTGAACAAATGAACAAAATATGGTATATAAAAATACTGTTTTTAAACTATCACAATCTATTTTATTAAAAAATGATAATAATCTAGGACAAATCAACCTATTACCTGTTTTTTAACTAAATTTTATTGGAATGCAGCCACACTCCTGCAATCTGCATATTGTTTATGGCTACATTTGTGCTGTAACTGCAGTGTTGAGTTGTTCCAACAGGGATCTTATGGCTCACAAAGTCTACAATAATACTACCTGGTCCTTTACAGAAAATTTACTGACCTATGCTGTAGGATTAAAATAGAATATTTTTCTTGCTTTTTGAATTCCAAACACCACTATTACATCAACTATAATTGTGTTTCTTTTTTGTGTGTATGCATTTAATTTTGTTGTAGCAAGGCAACTTATACATTTTTAATATTTAAAACTAAGCATCATCGTTCCTCTCCAGGCAAACCACAAGAAAATTTAAAAATGAATGGGAACATAATTAAAATAGACAAGATCAATTTCAAATAAGATCCTACAGGTTCTGTTGATTCTCCCACTGAGTGGCAGGGCTCACATCATCATTAGGAGAGAATTCATTTGCAAGTGTCATCTTAAACTGCAGGGATGTCCATTAAACATGCCAAAGGAGAAGCCATGTTGTCAAAATGCCCACCTGACCCACCCAAACATCTCAAACCTACCCTTTGCTCACCTTCTACAACTCCATTTTTAAAGGTTTTTTTTGTTTTTTTTTTTTTTTTAATCTAGAGAAAGCAGACAGACACATGTTGGCAAATGCTAACTGTTCGTAGTCATATGACTATGACTATAGCCCAATATAAAGTCAGAGCAAGGATTTTCATCAAAACAAAAATTTATTCTGTAGAATGGCCTTTCTGTACAAGTTAACCTGAAACCCATGAAATAAGTAAGCACAAGTTCTTTATTCACACAGAAAAGTAGACATTAAAGAAAGAAAAATTTCTGAAACATTCCATTAGAAATCATCCTCTGAATTAATCTGACTTGTATCCCCATGGCAATACAAAATCACTAAAAATATACTGTAAGCAGAAAAAAAAAATCTAGTCTTCTATGAGAAATTATGTGTAATTCTCAGCTTTCTTAACTGGAAATATTATAGGGAAAATATTTATTATAAAACATAGCAGAGATTGAGAAATGAGTGCATTATAAAGATAATAAAATTAATTATAATTAAAATATGAAATAAAGCTGTCCACTAAAACTAGTATCCTACAACAGCTGATATTAACCAGCTACAGAGTAACTGTTGACAGGCTAAGTTTCATACATACCTGACTTCTCATCAGTTCTAATTTCTTTTTTGTATCTCGTGTCTCATCTTCTAACGTATTTTGACGTTGTGATGAAATCTCTAGCATACCTTCTGCCAGTGACTGTTTGTTCAGGACATCACCAAGCTCTCGTTTGAGTTTTCTCACAACTACCTGAGAAGATGTTATTTTTGTTACGGATTTTACGTATCACCGTATTATTAAATTCTGTTAGTAATATTTCACTCTAATGTATACACTTAGAAAAGTATCACCACACACACAGATTCTTTTCTTTTTCCTCATGTGTATACATTCCTGTTTATTAATGAATCCAGTTAAGGATAAAGAAGGTGTTATCTTCGTGCCAAACTGCTGCTGTGTTACTCATACAACAGATTCAGTCCACTGATGAATATGCAATGCTTAAAAACCTTCTCAAAAAGAAACAGGTATGTGGGTGGGACTGGTGGTAGTGAATTTTACACTGAGCAATGTTTTCTCTCTTTTTTATAAGAAGAAGCTCGAATCAACCTCAGAGTTCCTCACATATTCAGTCACCTGCTCATATCCTTCCAATAGATTTCCATCTCAGAAGAAAAGTAACATTCCAATGGCCTTCAATGCTCTAGGTAACCTGGCTTCTACCTCCCTCCCTGACCTCGCCTGCTATGTCTCTCTTCCCTACTCCCTCCATTCCTACCACCCCTCATTAATCTGAAAATGGGGCTCCAATGTGAAATTAATAAAATCACAGTACTAAGCTTATCTTTGTACTGGACAACGTTATATCCAAATGAGAGTCATTGAGCCTTGAAATAAAAATTGTGACATTTTTCATTAAAAAATTGAAAGTAAGTTATAAATGCTAACGGGAAGATTAAATCAAATCTAGTTTGGTAACATTTACCACATTTTCCCCATATTATAATGTAAGAAAAATTAGATGTCTTTGAGGAATGGAAAGGTCACATCAATGTATAATTTAAGATTGAATTATTTTCAGGTTTAAGTCAAATTGACATGAATAAAAATAAAATTGGCCAGGCACGGTGGCTCATGCCTGTAATCCCAGCACTTTGGGAGGCCTAACTGGGTGGATCACTTGAGGTCAGGAGTTCAAGACCAGCCTGACTAACACAGTGAAACCCGGTCTCTACTGATCTCTACTAAAAATACAAAAATTAGCCAGGCGTGGTGGCAGGTGCCTATAATCCCAGCTACTCGGGAGGCTGAGGCAGGAGAATCACTTGAACCTGGAAGACAGAGTTTGCAGTGAACCAAGATCACGCCATTGTACTCCATTCTGGGCAACTGAGTGATATTATAAATAGTATTATATTATTTATAAATTAATAAACAAAATTATACCAACTAAAATACATTAAAAGCTATAGAATAAAAATAATTTTAAAATAGGGACTACACTTTTGTTCATCTGGGAAATCTGGAATTAATGGTCAAAGTAATCCAATTAATTGAATCAATTTCAAAATAACACTTTAGGTATGAATATTTCTTTATATCTGTTTTATCATAATCCTAAAATGTGACAACATGCAGACATTAAAATTATTTCAGCAGTGTAAGACTACATTATAAATATTAGTCTATATTGATATTTTGTAACTGAAATGCTTAAAATTTCCTGAATGTCACATTGTCTTTACTCAAAAGAAAGCATCTCTTACCTCTAACTTTTATTTGCTAGAAACAAGTTACGTTTTTTAAGGTGATAGAGCAGATCTGTTAATCATGTATATATTTTCATATTCAACTAGATTCAATGTTTAGCCATAACCAAATATTACTTTAAATTTTACTTCAGGAAGTTTGAAAAATACTTATTTTTCTTGATACTTACTTGTCCTTCTTCTTTCTCTTTTTCATACTGGCATTGCCTTTCTTTTAAAAGAGTATATTCCTCTATCAACCCCTTGTTGTTCTCTTCTAGCAGAATACAGTGCTTTCTACACTCAGCTTGAAGTTTCTCTACAGTATCTTCACATTTGGCTTGGATATCAATTATTGTTTTTTCCTGATTGTCAGCTTTCTTGTGAGCATCATTAAGTTGCTGTTGATGCAATGAATTTTGGCTTTGTATTTGAAATAGTCCGTCCTGTACAGATTGCTGCTTTCTCACATATTTTTCCACTATATGTTGGTCATTTTGGTACATGTGTTCAAAGGCCTTCATTCGACACTGTGCTTGGCTTATGACTCCTTGCATGTGTTCTATAGCCAACGTCTTTTCCTTGAGAGCCTCTCTTTCGTAATGGAGCTCAGTTTCCAGGCCTCTGGATTTACTCTCAGCTTTAGAAAGTTGCTGAGAAAGAATCTGAATGTGAGAATTCATATTTTCTTGTAAATGACACCACTGATTTACTGTGTTCTGGAAAGCAAGCTGTAGGTCTCTTTTTGATGACTGACTTTGATCACGATCACATAGAGCAGCAGCCAGTCTACGACTGTATAATTCCAATTCTGTTTCCAGTCTTTGCTTTCTTTGTTTTTCCTTCTCTAGCTCAGAATTGAGCACTGTATTCTTATCCAATGTCAGACCATTAAGCTCTTCACTATACCAGTTTATTGTTTTTGTTAATGTTTCCTCATTCAGCTTTAGAGTCTTTTCAAGGTCTTCATTCTTTTTCTTTATAATTTCAATATCCTTGAAAAACATATTTTCAATTTCCTGGTTCTGATGTTTTATTGTGTCTATTTCTAGCCTGAGTCTGGCAATTTCAACCCGCATCAAGTGATTTTTCTGCCACAGGTCTCTTTCTTTTTCATGGGTAAAAGAACTCTAAATAAAACAAAGAAAACTTTCAACTAGTATCCAATAAAATGACACATTATGATTTCTTCTAAAACTAAGTAATAACGTGTACATTTATACAAGGAAAGAATTGCCATCTGGAGATCCAACTGGAAAAGAGAAGTTGAATAAAAACTTCAAACATTTTAGAGCATAAATTCTCAAAAGTTCAAAAATGTATTTGAAGACAATTAGTTTTAAAAAAGACTTTTACTGAATTTCAACAAACCCAAAGGCATAAATGATTAATAACTATGAGTACATTTAGAAATTGGGTTTACACACTAACGTCTAACCTATACTTTTCCCTATAGTGTAAGAGCCTTAGCTCTGCAGATATTTGGACAGATGAAATTTTCCAAATTCCTTAAGTTTCTTTTTCCTTCAAATATTTTATAGATAATTCTATTTTTCTTACATTTTTTAGAGTCAGTTTTAAGAATGACACGTATTGATAAATGATAAATCTAGGCATTGTACCAAGCACTTTTATATGGATACATCAATTAAGTCACTTAGTTATCACAATTCTGAATGGAAAGTTTAAAAATATAAGCAAGCTGCTAGATTTTCCCCAGGTCTTCTGACTCCTAGTGCTCCTCCACCAGATCATGGTTACTTCCATGGAGTAGATATGCAAATACAATAAAAACCTTTTCTTTCAAAACACCAAAAGTAAAGAAGATAACATTTATAAAGCTCTTCTTAGGACATCATAAGATTATGTACTATTGTGAGAACTTTTATTTCATTTTCACAATGTTTGAAACCATAATTAATGTGAAATTGAAAAAACTACATTAAACTATGTCACTAGGAACAAATTACTTATCTATAAAATATCACTAAGTATATATCATGGAATGTCATTGTTTTCCAAAGGTCTTTGAACTGAAACAAAATACTACTTTGATGCCAAGATTTATAATAAATAATTGTAACTGTAAGTGTCATTCATTTTTAAGATGAAATAAAATTTGTGGCTTTAGAACTAAATAATATATATTGTCAAAGGGATATTATAATATCAACAAAATAAAATTAGAAATATAAAACTTTACCAAATGTTAATGTACCTGATTTAAATTATTTCTTACAGTCTTCAATTCCATTTCCAATGATTTGTGAGTCAGCTTAAGTAGGTTTTTCACTCCGGCTTGTGTCCAATATTGCTCTTCCATTATTTTGAACTTTTCTGTACCTTTTTCATACTTTTCAGGCTTTCTTCTTTTTTCTTCTTGTTGTTGTAAGATTAATCTGTAATTAAATACTTATCTTAAAATCCTTTAAAAAAAAAGCACTCATATGCTGGTTTATTTTACTAATAAAGTGCCCATGCTCTTGAATATTTTTTCTTTCTAGTTTTCATGTTAAATTCTCACTTCAATGTCTTCCAAATGACATATATAAATTGAAAAGTAGTGGGGAATAAACATTCTACTAATTGATCAGCTTCTGTTACTAATAATTCTAGTAAATATTATTGAAAAGGACATTGAAAATTATTAGGTAAAGTTGCAAGTTAAAAATTACCTTTTCTTCACACATTAATAATCCCTCCTCAGTCAGGATGAATCATTTAGAGTTAACTAACTAAAAAGAAGTTATTTTTTATAAATAAGTTGATACCTTCAGTAGAAATAAATTTTCATATTCATGAAATACTGCAGGTATCACTAAACATGATTTACATTGTAAGATAGCACCTTCACGTGTCTTCTTGCAATATTCATCTGCAGATGACTATCATCTAAGCCTAGGCTAAGGAATCTAAGATGTTACCCCATACTTTTTATGTTTCTTGTTTTAATAACACTTTTAACTTATCCTGAAAGTATCGATAACTTATCGATATATTAAATAATGAGATTTCCACAGAGTAGAAATCTATAAAATCTTTTAAACAATGATTTAAAGGAATATGCAATTAATTATTAGAGAAGTATTCACAATTAAGAGCTTGTGATATTATATCCAAGAATTTCACATTCCACAATTTTAAGAAGTTTTCTTCTCTATTAAACCCTAGAAGGTAAGTCAACTATTACAAAAATTATCCTACATATCTTTAGTATAAACAGTTCAAATACTTCTTTAAAACTAGAATGTTTTACCTTAAAATATGGAGCTCTTGTTTCCAATCAGGTTTCTGATGCTCTATCTGTGATTTGGTTTTGTCTATTTCAGACAGTTCCTTTCGTAGTTTACTAATCTCATTTTTCATTTTTTGAAATTTCACAGTAAGTTGTTCACAGTAATGTATTTTATGTTCTATTAATCTTTCATGTGCAGATATTGCATTCTTGATTTTCAATAGGCTAACAAAATCTGTAACCAAGGGAAAATAAAATAGAGATAAAATACATGAGTAGGGTTTTAGATATAAAGTACTGTGGATATCAACGTGGCACTCATTCATACACTGAATGAGTATGCATATATTGACTGCCTGCAGTGTGGAAAATATATAGAAAGATCTTCAGATAAAACAGACAACACGTCTGACCTTGTTTAGCTTAAAGCATAGTGAAGAACAAAGACAAAGGTGACAAATATAAATTCAGATAGCTGCTTTAAGAATACATAGTTTTATAATCACATAAGAGAATTTGACCTATAATTGGCCAAGGGAAGATTTCCCTGAGGAAGAGAAGGCTACACTGAGAAATGAAAAATGAGAAGGAAGCAGTTGAGCAAAGGAGAAAGCAGAGCACTCTGGCTAGTCTGATGCATGTTCTGGAGCTCTGCTGCAATCTGCTTCCAGCCAAGAGGGAGCAACGGGTGCTGATTTTCTTTCTTACCTGAAGCCAAAAACAACCAGGCAAAATACATGAAACAATGCCTTTCAACACAATGGACTTCTGTAACAAGGATGGTAATCACTGAAAGACAAGAAACAAATGTAGGCCTTACAAAAGTCCCAGCTTTTTGTGTGGACAGAGCTCCAAGGCCATGACAAAGGGAGAAAATCTGACAGATTCCCTGAGCTGGGGTGGTGACGCTAAGAGTCTGGTAAAATGAAAGCAGAGAGAAATCACAGGACAGAACACTTGAGAGGAGAAAGCAGCGGCGGAAAGAAACCCTGGACATCTGCAGAGGTCCCCTCTAAAGTATTTAATAGAATAATGAAAAAAATGCATGTGTGCTAGGAAACTTCCTAAGACCAAGGCAGCAGGGTAAACAATAGAACAAGATTAGGAGAAACAATGTCTGCTGTTCTCGAAGTGCCCAGAAGAGGGTCCATTCCCAGGAGCCAGGCCCAAAAACTCATACTTCACAGGACAATAAATAATCAGAAAACTCTTGCCTCAGGAGTGGGAAATTACCCAAAATCTAAAAGAAGAACAAAAAGAATTCTATTTACAAGGCCGGGCGCAGTGGCTCAAGCCTGTAATCCCAGCACTTTGGGAGGCCGAGGCGGGTGGATCACGAGGTCAAGAGATCGAGACCATCCTGGTCAACACGGTGAAACCCCGGCTCTACTAAAAATACAAAAAATTAGCCGGGCATGGTGGTGCGTGCCTGTAATCCCAGCTGCTCAGGAGGCTGAGGCAGGAGAATTGCCTGAACTCAGGAGGCGGAGGTTGCAGTGAGCCGAGATCGCGCCATTGCACTCCAGCCTGGGTAACAAGAGCGAAACTCTGTCTCAAAAAAAAAAAAAAAAAAAAAAGAATTCTATTTACAAGTAAACGACTGTACCCCCTAAAAAGCTTGAGACAATAAGTAGAGGCATGTAAGATACTTCTTTAAAAATCAAACCATACTTGCAGAAATGCCAATTGCAATGTCAGAGGTAAAAGCTACAGAGAATGAAAGTAAACACAGATTAAACATCACAATCATAAATTTGACATGATGAAGTATGAGAAACATTCAAGCAACTAATATATAAGTCCCCAAATAGGAAGAAAGACAGAAAAGAAAACTGAAAAAGAAAATGGCCAAAAACATTCTAAACTTGGCAAAATCCATAATCCCACAGATCCAGGAAGGAACTGTCTGGGAAAAAAAATAAAAGGGTACCATTGCCATTTTCTTATGCCATCTATGATGTGGTATAACATTACTTAAAGGCAGACTGTGATAGGTTAAAATTATATACTATAAATCCGATATAAGCCAATAAGATAGCAAACAAATAGTTATATATAATCAACCAAAAAAATGTGAAATTAAACCATAGAAAATAGCTGACTAATCTAAAGGAAAGCAGAAAAAGAAGAAAAGAGGAACAAATAATAGCGAGACTAACAGCAATCGAACAGCATAATGACAGAAAAACATAATTATATTGATAATCACAATATAAATGAAACTGGTTTACAAGCCTCAATTAAAAAGCAGACTGACAGACTCAATAAGAAAGCAATACCTAACTACATGCTGTCTATACGAAATGCACTTTAATTGTAAAGACATAAATTGGCTACAAGAATAGAAAAAAATACATGCTAACACTTGTCAGAAGACTACTAAGAAGAAATGGTTGTATTAATATCAAAGTCGATTTCATAGCAAAAACATTTCCATTAATAAATAAGGTCATGTCATAATAATAAAAGTTTCATTAAATCAAGAAGACATAATAATCCTAAATGTTTATGCCCCTAATATCATAAGAAATTCAAAATGCAGGAGGCCAAAGTGGATAGAACTACAAAAAGAAATAGCCAATTTCTAAGTAATGAGGTTTCAATACTTTTTACTCAAGAAGTGACAGAACAAGGAGACAGAAAATTAGGAAGAACAGAGCAGACTTCACACCATGCTTTTCAAGTACCTATGGAACACTTACCAAAATAGACAATATTTTAGGCCATATAATAAATCTCATTAAAAAGATTTCAGTAGAAGAAGGCTGAATAGGAACAGCTCTGGATTGCAGTTCCCAGTGAAAACGCAGAGGGTGAATGATCACTGCATTTCCAAATGAATTTTTAATGTCCACAGACCTGGAAATTCCCGGGCAGAAAAGCGCCATGTCTCTAGTGCAGTTGTTTCAGGTGGTGCAGTGGGTTTCTGCACAAAAACTCACAGAAATCCGGGTGCTATTTCAACTGGTGACTGGAACGCCTGAGAGACAGAGTCACCAGTTCAACTGAAAAAAAGGGAGCTGAAACAGGGAGCCAGTTGATCTGGCTCAGTTGGTCCCATGCCCACAAAGACCAGCAACCTGAAACACTTTGGATTGAGTGTTTCACAGCAAGCACAGCTAAACTGGGGATGGTCCAGCTCTGTGGGGGAAAGGATATCCGCCACTACTGAGGCAGTCTGCCATTACAGAGAAAATCCTCCATTACCAAGAATCCACTAAATCTGCCAATACAGAGACAGTCTTCCAACTGAGGCAGACCACCATTACTGAGGCACTTCTAACTATACCTCTATAAAAAAACTGCAAGGAAGTTCACACAGCAGCTGGGCAGAGCCATGGCAGCTCAGCAACGCTGATGCTGGCAGACTGTGACTAGGCTACATCCTTGCTGGGCAGGGCATCTCTGAAAAAAAGGCAGCAGAATGTCAGGAACTTATAAATAAAGCTCCACCTTCCCGAGACAGAGCACCCAGGAAAAAACGGTGGTTATGAGTTTTGCTGCAGCAGACTTAAATGTACCTGCCCAGCAACACTGAACAGAACAACAGAGCTCACAGCTCAGCACTTGAGCTCCTATAAAGGATAGACTGTCTCCTCAAGCAAAGAGACACCTCACAAAGGAGAGCTCAGGCTGATATCTGGCGGGTATCCTTCTGGGACAAAGATAAAAGAAGAATAAACTAGCAGCAACCTGCACTGTTCTGAAGGCACTGCAGGTGATCCCCAAGCAAGCAGGGTCTGGAATGGACCTCCAACAATCCCACCGCAGGGGAGCCTGACTGTTAGAAGGAAGACTAAGAAACAGAAAGAAACAACTTCATCAGCAACAAAAAAGGACATCCACTCAGAGACTCCATCTGAAAGTCACCAACCACAAAGACCACAGGTAGACAAATGCACAAAGATGGGAAAGAAATCAGCACAAAAAAGATGAAAATACCCCAAACAAGAATGCCTCTCCTTCAAGAAATCAAAACTTCTCACCATCAAGGGAAAAAGGTTAGCTGGAGAATGAGTCTGATGAATTGACAGAAGAAACAGGCTTCAGAAGGTGGGTAATAACAAACTTCTCTGAGCTAAAAAGTCATGTTCTAACCCAAAGCAAAGAAACTAAGAACCTTGAAAACAGGTTTGAAGAAATGCTAATGAGAATAAACAGCTTAGAGAAGAATATAAACAACTTGATGGAGCTGAAAACACAGCACGAGAACTTCACGAAGCATACACAAGTTTTAATAGTTGAATCGACCAAGCAGAAGAAAGGATATCAGAGATTGAAGATCAACCCAATGAAATAAAACAAGAAGGGAAGATTAGAGAAAAAAGAAATGAACAAAGCCTCCAAGAAATATGGGATTATGTAAAAAAAACCTAATCTACGTTTGATAGGTATACCTGAATATGATGGAGAGAATGAATCCAAGTTGGAAAACACTCTTCAGGATATTATCCAGAAGAACTTCCACAACCTAGCAAGGCAGGCCAACATTCGAGTCCAGGAAATACAGAGAACACCAAAAAGATATTCCTCAAGAAGAGCAACCCCAAGGCACATAATCATCAGATTCACCAGGGTTGAAAGGAAGAAAAAAAATGCTAAGGGGAGCCAGATATAAAGGTTGGGTTACACACAAAGGGAAGCCCATTAGACTCACAGCGAAGCTCTCCAAAGAAACCCTACAAGCCAGAAGAGAGTGGGAGCCAATATTCAACATCCTCAAAGAAAAGAACATTCAACCTAGATTTTTATATCAGCCAAACTAAGCTTCATAAGCAAAGGAGAAAGAAAATCCTTTATGAACAAGCAATTACTCAGAGATTTCGTCACTACCAGGCCTGCTTTACAAGAGCTCCTGAAAAAAGCACCAAACATAGAAAGGAACAACCAGTACCAGCCACTCCAAAAACATACCAAATGGTAAAGAGCATCGACACTATGAAGAAACTGTATCAACTAATGGACAAAACAACCAGCTAGCATCAAAATGGCAGGATCAAATTCAAACATAACAATATTAACCTTAAATGTAAATGGCTAAATGCCCCAATCAAAAGACACAGACTGGCAAATTGGAAAAAAAAGTCAAAACCTATCAGTGTGCTGGATCCAGGAAACCCATCTCACATGTAAGGATACACAGACGCTCAAAATAAAGGGATGGAGGAAGATCTACCGAGCAAATGAAGATCCAAAAAAATAAAAATAAAATAAGCAGGAGTTGCAATCCTAGTA